AACAGCTGCCGCGCCCATAGAATAAATGCTGCTAGCGATCACCCAAAAGGTATTAACAGCAACACGTTGGAGATTGGCAGCACAGCTCTGCTAAAAAAAAATCATTACTGAAAATACTGCATAGCCCAAGTCGTCGCTGGCTCTCTATTTTCTCGAGAAGCATGATGCAATCTGAAAGTACCCAATTCAAGTAAAACCGCACTTTCATATCCATTCTTGCACAAAGTTAACGCTCAATTTTTGATAAGATTCGCTTGACACGTCTAGTGGGCCGTGAAGTCTCTGCATTGTGCTCACATTTTTTTTTTCAGTAAAGACAGAATCGGCAAGCAAAACGAAGTGCAAAAGGTTTTTCCAAATACAGAAGGGTGAGTGTGAAAGCAAGCGAATTGGGGTGATGTACATTTGCAGGATCAATCAAACTCTCTCCCAATAACTCGAAAATATGTGATGATCAGCGCTTCTGTACAACATTGCAGCGCGCTCGGCCACGCACTCGCGTGATGTAGCTCATACTGAGCGCGATAGTATACGTTATGAACTTGTTTGAAAAAAATATTAAGAAATTGCTAGCAAGCACATCTTAGGTGCTATTTTTTCCTTTTGAAAATGTCTGTTTTATATCTTCTCTTAGACCAAGGCATATATAACCGTCTGTAGCCGTTTTGAAAGTCGTTAAGGTTTGTTTTTGGGTTGTGTCGAGGATGTCCATCTGCTGTCCAAATTATTGCGCCCACATAAAATATTTTGTAGATATTCTTCAGATGTTCCGGACAAAAAATAAAGTGGACATGAATAACAACCGAAATGCAATAGTCCTAAATCGTCCCTTAGATAACTGGCTTCGGACGTGGATGTTAGGCTATAATTCGAATGTCCACCAGATTTTTGTGGCCCATTGGTACACTGACCGACTACATCATGGACATCATGTTTACTTTAAAAAACTGGTATGCAGAAAAGGTGGTGCTGTCTAAGAAGTGAAAAAAAATAAATAAATAAAAAGCAAGGCCTTCTTGCAAAGAGAACCATAACTATCTTACCTAGGATTCCTGCAACTGGTATCATAATGAATAAAGCAGCATTCATTTCAGCAAGGCCAATGATAATAATATTAGTAAACTTATGTGCTCCTATATTTTGGCACGATAGCAGACATGCTCTTTGGTTCTGTTGCTTTCACAGTGCTGTCAAGGGAAGTTGTCGCCGAGTATAGCGAACGTATATACAGTTGCATCTTACTGGTGCTCGGCTACGGAGCAGAAAGCTGGAGGATTACAAAGAGGGTTCAACTTAAGTTGAGACTGACGCTGCGAGCAATGGAAAGGAAAACGGCAACCCTAAGGGTCAAGATATCAGGGGACAAACGGATGTTAAGGACATTATAGTCGAAATCAGGAAGAAATGATCATGGGCAGGGCACGTAGCGCGAAGGCAAGATAACCACTGGTCATTAAGGATCACATACTGGATATCAAGAGAAGATAAGTGGGTGAATGGGGAGACGGAAAGTTAGGCGAGCGGACGAGTTAAGTGGCAGCAGCATGCACAGGACCGAGTCGACGGGTGGAACATGGGAGAGGCCTTTCTCCTGCAGTGAACGTAGTCAGGCTCATGATGATAGTGATTGTCCTGCAGTGAACGTAGTCAGGCTCATGATGATAGTGAAAGTGCGGGAGGGCAGTTGATCACCGTGGCTCAAGCAGATGTGAAACACGCTGGCCATCCTCTGTTGTGTGCGAGGCTCATGGGTTTGGTGCCAAAAAGAGGGCTGTATGGTAGCTGTGCACATTGATGAGCCATGCACAGTTGTGCATGCCATATCTTGGTAGGGATCAGCAGATGATTCATACCATTGTACATGTCATGTTCTTTCCACTCCATTTGCACTGAAGATAGGCAGTGTGAAGGTTGCTGTGCCTAGGTTGCTGTGCCCGAGGACTGGCGGTAAGAGGGTGAGGGAGAGCGACGTCGGTTAGTTGAGCGGGACATGCGTCCAGAGGGTGACAGGGAGCGGTCCGGTTGGGCGGTCCTGGATGGCGAAGCATCGTCTTGTTCCACGTGGATCAGTATCCGAGAACCAGCAGGTGGGTGTCGGGAGTTGGCATAATGCGACCATGGCTTCCAATTCCAAGATGTGCGGCAATGACGTAAAATATGGCCAACTCGTCCACAATTGAAGCAAATCGGCTTGTCATCGGAAGTTTGCCATTCTGTCGAGTTCCGGTAACATGGGCGGTTCGGTCCGCGGGACATATTAGGTGTACTGGGGCAGTTGTTAGTAAAGTCGGTCAAAAAGGCATAGCGTCGGAAGTCCGGCGTTGGCCAGTTCCTGGCGCACAACACTCTGGATCAAAGAAATCGTGGCATGAAAGTCGTCGGGGACCCGGACTTGGTCAGACAGTGGAGATGCTGCCCCGATTTCGCAGCGCACGATGCGCCCAATATTGTCGGAAGCAGCAGGGGCTGGTGGCAAACGGGCATCCTTGCAGGTAGATGTCGAAGCCGTGTTGGGAAGGCGCGAAAGTGTGGAGTGATACGACGACTTTTCGCTTCTTTGAAGCGTCGGCATTCGTTAATAACGTCGTCGACGGTCGATGAGTTATGAAACACGAGGAGAGTGAAAGCATCATTGGCGATTCCTTTGAGGATGTGCGCGACCTTTTCAGATTCCGGCATCTTGTCGTCAACCTTCCGGCAGAGGGTGAGCACATGTCGTATGTACGTAACATATGACTCGGTGCAGGACTAGAGTTGGCACGCTAGTTTTTTCTGCGCAGCAGGACGACGCCCAATGGTCTTGCCGAAGAGATTGATGAGTTTCTGTTTGCAGATGTCCCAACTCGTGATCTCTTCCTCGAGGTTGGAAAACGAAACTTTAACTGTGCCATCAAGGTAGAAAATATTATTGGCCAACATGAGCGTCGGATCCCAGTTGTACATAGCGTTCACTCGTTCATACAGCTGAAGCCATTCCTCCACGTCAGTGCTGTCGCTGCCCGAAAAGATGCCTGGGTGACGCGGTTGAGTGAGGACGACGGTGCCGTTCGTAGCAGCTGGATGCGGCGCTGTTGGTTGTTGCGTAGTTGGACGAAGCATGGTTGTGGTAGTCCTCGAAGAATCGCCGTTCTCATCTTGATCAGGCATCGCAGAAGCAGCCAAGGAACGTCCGTTGCGTAGAATCATCGTGGATGTTGACTGTGGGAAGACCCGCACTCTCCACCAAAATGTTACGGGAAAAAGGCATCTGAAAAATATATTTACTTTAGATAAACAGGCAGGCATACAATATGGAGCCTAGTCTGCACGAGCTCGCACTAGACATCATCCTCTTTCCTGTTATGTTCATCTGTAGCACCCCGTAGCAATATAGTTTTTTTTTTTTTTTTCAAAGCAGTTTCCAGCAGTGTTGTACTTCTGTGGTCAAATAGCTACATGCCATGATGAATGCGTGGGTGCGATTCCTAGCTGTAGAGCCGAAGATATCTGCATCTTCCTCATGCGCCAGCCTTTCTGCAAAACAAGCTCTTTAAGGCTGTAGCGTTAAAATTTGGAGCCGGTGACACGCACAGGCACACACCCAATCGGACGTGAAGCACAAACGGCGAATCGGAGAGCAGTGGCTTCAAACTAGGGCGTGGTGAGAGCGGCATGCGCGCTTTCCCTGCTACCCTAGCGGAGTTTCATGACAGAGGGGGCATAAGTGCTGTGCCCGATTTCGTGACGTTTTCAGGGCACCCGAGCGAGTGCAGTTTCGCCTCCTCAAGAGTTCTTGCTCCGTAAACAAGGGATAAGAAGAAACACGTACAGATGAATACTGAACTTACAACTAAAGTTTATTTCCGAAATGATGCATAATACAAAAAAAAAGAACGAATGCATGGACGAAAAATTGCAGATCAATATTTGTAAAAAACCAAAATGAGGAATCAGCCTATGTCATTTCCGAGGGTCATGTGTGCGAGGTAAGTAGTGCACTTCTTTTTCTGTTACTGCCAAGTCTTCCAATTTCTGCTGCCTCAATTATCTTGTGCGTTAATTGAGAACCTCATCTCCCCACCCCTTGGCACCTTTTGAATAGAGGTTTCCATTCAGGAGTGCCACATGTTCTGCAACGAAGGGCTTTGTTTCGGAAATAAACTTCAGTTGTAAGTTCAGCGCTCGTCTGTGTTTCTTTGTATCCCTTGTGCATTTTTGCACCGTTGTCAGTATAATGGACCACCAACCTGCCCAAACATTTGCTCTCTTGAATTCCGCTTTGTTCGCTGATACAGCTGCATTTCCTTATGTCAGCAATTTGTTGAGTTATTATCAAGGCGAAAGCCATATGTGCCTAATCAAACACGAAATTTGGCTGTCAGCATTGGTGTCCCACGGCATAAGAGACGAGGGGGGCAGAAAATTACCGTCATGTTATGACGTCACTATGCTAGTGTCCTGTGGTGTTGGGAAGGAGTGCTGCGAAAAATCATCACCACGGGGAGGTCACCATATGATGTCACGATGCCGTCACATGTCACTGAAAATCCTGGCATCATCATGGTGTCACTGTGATGCTATGTGATGTGATGCAATGTCATACGATGACATCACCTCATTACGTTATATCTTGTTTGAAGGTGATCAGATCATAGAGGCAATACGAAACCAAGAGAAGGGCCTCTGATCTTGGAGGCAGTGCACTGTGTAGGAAGCCTTCGAAGGATGGCAGGGTAGGTCAATACATCAACCGAGAAGGAAAAAAAGGAAGATGGCTTCTAGTCATCTCCAGCGCCCTGTGAATTCTGCAGGTTGGATGCTAAAAGAGTTGGTGGTTAGTCTTACTTCGTATTGCATTCAAATTTGTTGCTGTTGCATTGATGACCCATTGTGGCGAAACTGTCACTTGTTTTGTATTATATATGTTTCTATCATAGTGCAGAAGTGAAACGCTAAAATTCTAGCGAGATTCAGGGCCATACAAACTGTTTCTAAAGGCTTGGTTCACTGGTTTTTTCCAGATAGTTGCTGAAAGGCCAGGTCATGTGAGCTATATGCTAACTATGGCTTGCAAAGAGCGTCTTAAGAAGACCATGGACGGCCGAGAAATGCATTGTTTATTTAAACTCTTTACCACCGATCTCAAGTTTATGCCCACATGGTGGCGGGAGTGGTTTCAATCTGTTGTGGACAAAGCCCTGAAAAATTTTACACCACCATGTGCCGAGGATGGCTCTCAACGGTTCACAGTGAGTGCTTTGTTGTTTTTATTAGAAAAACTAGCCCTGGGAGAATTCATTCATTAAAGGGACTTAGTACTAAAGTAAATTATTACGTAGGACAGGTAGTAACCGTGGAGCTTAACCGCAAGATTGAAGTAACTAGAGGAATGGGGTCGAGCACATTCGGCAAGCATTCTCAAATTATGAATATTAGATTGCCACTATCCTTGATGAAGAAGGTACAGTCGAGCCCGACTATACCGAACCCGTTTATATGAAATTATCCCGTATAACAAACAGTTTCCAATATGGCATATTTACATTGAGAATATTGTTACCAAATATGTAATTTAGGTATGTTCACCTGTGTAGCGTGGAACAAGGTGGTGGCAGAAGAAGACGTTCGGTTGATGGCAAGAGCTCGCTGGTGCACATTCACTGCTGTATACCATCCAGTTGACCGTTACGTTGGCTCTGAATAAACCCCTCTCGTAGACGTAACAGAGTGGTGGAGGTGTGGGATACGGCAGGTCGACGTACCACGAAGCCACAGCTGTTCGGAGTTCGCTGGAGCCGTCGTCTTGCCGGTCTGCCACCGACAACAACTGTCATGGCCAAGAGCGAAGGTCGGGAATCAACTCCCTCAACTTCGCGCAGGTCTAAGCTGGCTACACCTAGGCATCACTACATGGAACCCCACCCGTTCACGGGAATGGCAGGAGATGTGGACGCGTGGCTAACGCACTACAAAAGGGTGAGCCGGTACAACCACTGGAACTCTATCGATCAGCTGGATAACGTAGCACTGTTTCTCACGGACACTGTACTGATGTGGTATGGAAACCACGAGGAGTCCTTGACAACAAGGGCTCTTTTTTCTCAAGAACTGAAGAAGTGTTTTGGTGACTCCGACTCAAAGAAGAAAAGCGCGGAGCGGACTATGGCTAGAAGAGCTCAGACTCCTGGAGAAACATGCACTGCTTATATAGAGGACATTCTTAAGCTTTGCAAGATTATAAACCCGCAGATGTCTGAAGAAGACAGGGTCCGATACCTCTTGAAAGGCATAGCAGAAGACGCTTACAATTTTCTGATAGGTAGGGATGACCTCACCTCTGTCTCCGACGTCCAATATCACTGCCGCACGTTTGAAAAACTGGACTCGTCGCATTGCCCCGAAATTCGGTAGGCTGGCAAATGTGACAACGGTCGCCAGCGTCGACGTGAGCCCACCCACCGACCTTGCCGCTACTATTCGGGCAATAGCGCGGGAAGAGCTGCAGCGACAAAGTGGTGGGGTTGACGAAACCATTCCTCATCCACCTATCAATCCGCCCTACTACACGGCGGCGCCATTAGCTCCTTTGCCACCATCGGTATGTGTGAGACGTCAGCGAAACTGGAACTCCGTGACCACGTCGTGACTCATTCGCGGCCGACCAGCGCTATGGCCAACGCCTTCGTCACGGCTCCGCCGCACAGAGGTGGGCAGCCCCCGCTCAGCAAGCTTGTCACCGACCCTCCACAGCTGAGCGGTCTCAGCATTGGTTTGGCGAGCGTCCTCCACCAGTCTGCTACAACTGTGGCTATGAAGGCCACATTGCCAAGTATTGCAACTATTGGCAGCCGCCAAGGTAAGACCGATCACCGAGATATAACCATTCGGGCGTTACCTGAGCACCGACATTCCCGGGAAGCGCGTCTTACGAAATCTTAGGACGGCTACGAAACCAATCTCCGGCCTCTGACCGCAGTGTGACACCACCGCCTGCCCCTCGCGCCAACTGATCACCATCTCCTTGGCGCCGCCACTCCACGCCTCCTACAGAAAACAAGCCGGCCCGCCCGTTGGAGGTGAGGTCGCCGGACAGTCTTCGATTTCAACATATATATCTCTGTTTGCTTCCATGTTTAGAAATAAGGTTCGAGTGCTTATCGATGGGGTACCAACAATGGCGTTGGTGGACACAGATGCAACCGTGTCAGTGATGAGTTTAGTTTTCACCCGTCTCCTTGGACGAAGAGTTATGTTTCGTTGGGACCGTCCTGATACCTTTTGGGGAGTGAGCGGAGAGGTGTTACAACCTGTTGGTGTCTGCACTGTGACTGTTAGTTTGGCGTGCCAGAACTTTGTTGCAGAGTTTGCTGTTCTCCCTCATACTACACATGACATTATTCTGGGACTCGATTTCTTGAAGCTATGTGGTGCCACTGTTGATTGTCGCGCAGGACAAATTACAGTAGATTCCGATATTCGAGTTGCGTTTATAGAAAACTACCTCTGTCAGGAAAGTGCTCTTTGCGTGTCCGTGGACACAACTGTGCCGCCATTGTCTGCGAAATGTGTCCCTGTTGTTTGTCACCTGCAAGCGAGAAAACATTTGACGCAACTGTGGAGCCCGTGCATCTCAGTTGCATAAAGAAGACAGTTTTAATACCCTACTGCACGCTATCGGTTGCGCAAGGGCATACTGGTTTATGGGTGATTAACTGCTCTGACGAACCAACAGTGCTGCCGGAGGGTCTGAAACTTGCAGAGATTCGTGAACACCAAGTATTCTCGCTTGCCATCCTTGAAGAAAGCAGCGATTGCCCGGATAAGACCCATTGCGATAATCTGCACGCCTGGGACACCACTATTATGGCTATGATTGACAAGTCACTCAGCACCAAGGAACGTAATGAGCTGGCGAGTATTCTGTGCAAACATGCCGGTATTTTTGATTTCGCTCAGCACGATCTACCATCATTTCCTGCTTCTCCTATAAAGCACCGAATCGACACAACATACCACAGACCTCTCCGACAGAAACCATATCGTGTATCGCCTTCGGAATGCGCAGTGATCAATGAACAGGTTTGTGAGATGCTCAAGAAAAATGTAATTCAAGAATCACGTAGTCCGTGGGCCGCTCCAGTAATTCTAGTGAAGAAGAAGGATGGGACATGGCGATTTTGTGTTGACTACCGCCGTCTCAAAGCCATCACTAAAAAAGGCGTATACCCACTCCCGCGGATTGATGATGATATCGACTGTCTATCATTGGCCTCTTACTTTTCGTCTGTGGATTTGAGGTCAGGCTACTGGCAGATTCCAATGCACGAGGAAGACAAGGAAAAAATGGCATTTGTTACAACAGATGGACTATTTGAATTCAATGTGCTGCCGTTTGGACTCTGCAACGCACCTGCAACTTTTGAGCGCTTTATGGACAACATTCTGCGTGGATTGAAGTGGGAAGTGTGTATGTGTTACTTGGACGACGTTGTAATTTTCGGGCGCACCTTTTTGAGCACAGCACGCGCCTTGGCCTCGTGCTGGACTGCCTAAGCAAAGCTCGCTTGGTGCTCGACTCAAATAAATGTCGTTTTTGAGAGCGCCAAACACTCGTTCTTGGACACTTAGTAGACAAAAAAGGCATACGACCAGATCCCGCCAAGACGGCCGCAGTGGAAGCATTTAAGCAACCTCACTCGGTGAAAGAACTGCGCAGCTTTTTGGGCCTTTGTTCATACTTTCACAGATTCATTCCTGGCTTTGCCAATACCGCATACCCGCTCACGTGTCTGCTTCAGAAAGGTGCGCAGTTTAACTGGACCCCTGATTGTGAGTCTGCTTTTTCGGAGTCAAGTTTCTTTTGAGTTTTCATCCGATTCTTCGGCACTTCAATCCTCTGGCTGCCACTGAGCTTCACACAGACGCCAGCGGTGTTGGTGTAGATGCTGTCCTGGTTCAACGCTTAGATAACCAAGAACACGTCGTAGCGTATGCAAGTCGCTCACTCAGCAAGTTTGAGGGTAACTACACAGTCACAGAGCAAGAATGTCTTGCAGTAGTCTTCGCAGTGCAGCGCTTCCGGTCCTACCTGTACGGACGCCCCTTTACTGTCATGACAGACCATCATTCTCTCTGCTGGTTGGTCAATCTGCGTGACCCATCTGGTCAGCTGGTGCGCTAGGCATTTCGTCTACAAGAATATGACTTCACGGTTTCCTATAAAAGTGGCCGACGTCACGCTGACGCAGATTGTCTTTCGCGACTAGCGCTTCCAACGGCGGAATGAGACGCGGACAACTTCGACACCTACATCGCGTCACTGGACCAACCATTTCCCGATGCCAAGACCTTTAAGGATGAGCAACAAAGGGACAGCACCATACAGCAACTTCTTGCTACCAAACCAAAATCATTGCCTACACGCTTCTGCATCCGAGACGGGCTAGTTTACAAAAAGAACTACACCAGCACCGGTTCACGATATTGACGTGCGTATGTGCCAGTGGTGAGGACAACGAAGCAGCGCGAGTGTCTTTGGCCGAGGGCAAAAGACGAAGAAGTCGTTGCAGTCTGTTTCCTGCGATCGATAAATCGTATTTGTTTGAGGCGCTTTGTGTGCTCGTCAATCTCGCGTCGTCACACTGGTGGAAGTGCTGGGTATGTCTTCATGCTTGGCACCCCTTCGCAGACCCGACATTCAAGCCCGGAATCACTACCACCCGTCGACACACCAGTCCACCGTTCCAGCCGCCGTCTGCGAGGCCTAGCTCCCGAGCTCAATCCCTTTCCAGAAACTGCCAGCAATCGCTTGCCTCCTTCAACCACCATGGCCACTGCAGCTACATCGCACATGACACTTCAGAATCCCATGATTCCTGACTGCTTTCATGGTGAGACCTATGAAGATGCACAAGACTGGCTGGACCAGTTCGAACGCTGCGCGAAGTACAACCAGTGGGCCACCCCAGAAGACAAGCTCGCGAATGTGTACTTCTACCTGAAAGGCAACGCCCAGACGTGGTACATCAACAGGGAAAGAAGCATGGCTACGTGGGATGACTTCCGCAACCAGCTGATTGACACCTTTAGTAGTCTTGACAGAAAGGAGAATGCGCAACGTCTCTTGGAAGCTCGAATTCAAAAACCAAACGAGAGCGTCGCTATGTTCACCGTGGACATGACCCATCTTTTCGGCAGGGCGGATCCTGAGATGCCGGAAGACAGGAAGCTGCGGTATCTAATGCGAGGC